AAACTACTAAGTTGCTTAGAAAATTACAGCATTTTAAATCTTTAATGCAACGTTCACAAATTATGTCACTGATTTGCTGAAGAAAACACACAAAACGATGTATTTTTAATATAAAAAGTAATTGTGGACTGGATATTTATCCCAGTCTTGGACATGTGAACGGTTAGTAACAACAATACCTTTGACGCATTGTTAGATTTTCATGTTTTCTCCCTAATTTACTATTGGTGGCTGTTGTTGCCCCATTGACTTCCATTATAACCACATTTGATGGTGCATAAATACAGTCTTTGTTTTTGTTTACTCCGTGTAGTTCTGAGAGCTGAGATGCATATTTAGATTTTCTCAGACACATCAAGGTAAGTGTGTAAATGTCACTCTCACATACTCACAGACACACATACACACACTTTAATTTGCTGTTATACTCCTTAAAAAATCTAGAAACTAAGCTTTTTTGAAAGGTTTTGCAATCAAAAAATGTGGTTATAATAGAAGTCAACAGGGCAAAACAACCAGTAACAGTAAATTAGGGAGAAAAAAATGAAAATGTTATGCTGCACAAAAAAAACTAACAATGCAGCAAAGGCAATGCTGTTACTATTACTGTGATAAGAAGTTAAACAAAATCAGTCCACAATTACTTTTTATATATAAAAAAAATGTCTTTTTTTTTTTTTTTTTTTTTTTACCAAATCACTGACATTATTTATATATTTGGCAAATAACGAGTTACAATCCTGTTATTTTATAAACAATTAAGTAGTTTTGAAATTTATGCAAAAAATGTAAACAAATATTAATCTCATGCATTCTTACAGCAGTTTAAATTAGTGGATGTTTTCATCCCTAACATAAAAAAGGGTAGTCAATTTAAACAGTGCATAAGGGGTTAATTAATTATTCGAGTTAAATTTTATTGAATACGCCTTTTAAAACACCTATTACACTGTATAATTTTAGTTTTACGGAGTATTTTTGTTGCCTTAAACTATTGTTGTTTAACATTTACTTCACTGTACTGTATGTTTGAGATCTTTTGTACAGTTTATTGCAGGTTCACAAAATACAAAAATAACCAAAACATGAACACTAGAACCTGACTATGAACAGGCTTGACAAACTAGCTTCAAAAACAAATGTTAGTCTAACCTAGAACAGGCGTGACTTTTTGTTGCTTGAAATACAATTAGACTTGTAAAAAAAAAAAAAAAAAAAAAAGCTTTCAAACAGGTTTGTCAAGGAAATATTTCTCATGGTTATAACAGCAAACAAAAACAATGCAATTAGAATATTTTTTTGTTTCTTGGAATAAAATAAGCATTAACCAAAATGAAAGAGTAAAATTATAATTTTTTTTTATTACAGCTGGTTTAAATATTTTTCAGTGTTATTTTAGTTTTCTAAAATATTATATAAAGATTTAACTAAAATTTGTAATTGAATTTAATGAATGATTGAACGTTTAAATCATTTAATTCATAAAATTAAAACCGTTGTCACTTGAGATAATTAAATACTGAAATAAAATATATAAAGACTTATTTTAATTACAAATATTTTTAATTAAACTAGTTGCCAATTAAATATTTTTTAAAGTTTTAATTAACTTGATGCACAGAAACAATGTTTGAACATTTTATATCATAAATATACATGAGTTGCAATGCGATGCGGCTGTATATCAGCACTGATGGGAGGCTGGCGATATACACCCATATTGCAGCTGCTAAAACAGTTCAATGGCATAATCATATGTATAAATAAGAAAATCAAACATGGAGAGTCTTAAAAATCTTTTGTATAAGGAACTACTTTCTTCCGCCATTCAATCACATTTGCAGCTGATGTCAGAGCAGCAGAAACCGTTACTAGTTCACAAAGGTCACTTTAGGGCTAGCAGTTGAATGATTCTCTATCATAATGAGTCATGACTAAAGTGATGACAAAACATTTGATTTTGCTGACATTTTAAAATTATACGACTGAACGGCATGAAATGCCATCAGTCTACAGAGATTTCGCAGTATTCTCTCTTGCAATCAGGAGATCACAGTAATTATCCCCGAAAAAGCCAAAGCAGCACCAACACTACCAAATTACTGTTGTGTTTGCGATAAGTAAAAACACTAAACACATGGGGGCATTTCTTCTTTCTTTTTGTTTACTAAACTAGTTTACAATAACAAAAACAGGAGTCTCATTAAAAGCAAACAGATGGCCAAACTCCTAATCATTTTGAAGGATTATTCGAAGTGTGGCCGACACAAATTACTCACATTCCTGATATGCGAGTCCCATCTCACACTCAATACACAACAATTATTTGATATAAATACAGCACTACAACATACAAAAGAGAGAGATCCACTTAGAATATCATTTACCTGTTTAATAATGATTTGATCAACTGTAGTTTAAAAAACACAGTTTTTAATCCTCCAAGGGCTAATTTTGCGGTCTCTGTCGCCATCTTGCAGATAAAACAACATCAACCGTCTTTGCTCTGCTCTAAGACAGGCTAATAGCCCCTGACATGCTGTCTCATAAAAATTATTAATATTTAAAATAAGCACTATCCTTATAAACAAACTGCATAGTTGCAATCTAAACAACTACATTCTTGACTAATAAAGCCTCAAAAGTATATTATGTTGTCCAACAGCTGCAATATTTGACAAATTGTAGAGTGTGCTCTGCTTGTCGGTTTATTAGGGTGAAAAACACAAGAGTTAAGTGGCTGGACGAGTGCTGTTGGTGGCAGAATGGCACACGGTTTTCAGCCAGTCATATACAAGAACCAGACAGAACTGTTGTGTATATACTAAAAAACATGCACATCTAAATGACTTAAATAAAAACAACATTTATTAAAATAATAATATAATAGTAAAATAATAGTAAAATACACTTTATTTTATATCTTCATGTTCAATTAAGTTGTACTAACTTTGTCACTTTGTCATGTGGTCATGTTGTTTTCTTCTGTTTTTCCTTTTTAATATATATAGTACATATAGTTTTAATATATATATATATATATATATATATATATATATATATATATATATATATATATATATATATATATATATATATATTAGTGTTTATGTTGTAATTTAGCTTTATTAATGAAAATAAGTGTAAAAGTTTCTGTTTAAGTAAAGATTGATCGCCCTGCTAATGTGCACAAATATGAATATGTAAGTTGTTTATTTTCTCTGTTATGTCTAGTTAATTCAAAATAATATGACGAGGAACGCTTATGGAGATTGGCCAGAGATGGGGGAAATCGTTGGCTGCTTTCCCAGGATAACTGAGACTGAATGACTGAACTTCAGATCACCACGTTTGGGACATTTCAGAAATGGGACATCAACAACAGAGTCTTGTGTGCTCTCTTCCCTCCCTGAGCAAATAAAATGGAAGGAACTTTTTACTCTAGCACAAATAAGGAACATGTAAAGGGCAACAAAATTAGCATCTTTCTGCTGCTTATTTCCAAACATTTTGGAAATTTTCCAAACAGTTTGATGTTATAAACCACGCATTCAAAAGATAATGATAGAGACAGTTCTTTTCCCAAACTGAATTTACTTCTACAGTATATGAAGGTAACAATGACCATGTTTACATGCAAACCAATATGCAGATATAACTGGTGAAAAATCTGCTCATTGAAGTAAGCTGTTGTCCTGGATTTCACATAAACCAGTAGCCGGTAAACAACGTTTTTTTTAATATACCAGTTTGTTAGTGGCATAAAAATATAAGAATTTGCATATTTAACTGTTCTGTTGTTTTTCATTTTACATATTAGTTGTTCCACCAAAAATGGATATTCTGTTATTAATTACTCACCCTCATGTTGTTTTAATTCCCTGAGACTTTTGTTCATTTTTGGAACACAAATGAAGATACTTTAGATGAAATCCAGGAGCTCTCTTATCCTCCAAATACAGAAATGTTCCAGTAAACCTCCAGCATGTGCTTTTTGATGGTGCAGAGTTTACTACACAGGTTTCGTAGTACACTGGTAAGCTATGCAAAGATTGGATTTAATATTATATGTGATTTAATCAGTTAATAATGACATAGAGATAATCATTCTGTGATAATAGCAACTATTTGCAAAGCAGTGAACTATGGCTCTAGTAAATGCTTCATTGTGTTTTATTAATGTCTACCCTAATCCCACCCCCCACACTAACCTAAAAATAGTAAGTATTGTTGTAGAGTGTCACAAAAACGTATGCTATATTCATGTGCACTTGCCCAACTTGCTGTTTCCTTTTTAGACTTCTGCCGTTTCCCTATTAGTACATTTGTAGGAGTTTGGGTTTCTGTGAGAGCGCACGCTGGCCTTCGGAGATTTGCTACAGATTACACCATTCAGTGCTTCACTGAGAATATTTGCATGACAATCAGTTTTGCTCAATCATGTTTACGATTTCAGTTCTATTACTTGCCCAGTCCTATAGTATTTCCAATTCAGAAAAGGAACCAAAAACATTGTCAGAACATTCCATGTGACTTGAGTGGTTTAACTGTAAAACAAAGCTCCAAGAACACTTGTGCCAAAAACGTCAATGTCTTCCTTTCCATTTCAGGTCAGGATGCTTGTTTACTATAGGCAAAACAATGTATTGCCACGAGAGTCTGCAGTGCAATACATAAGCATCGTATTGCCCGTAGTAAATGGGGATCCTGACATGGAAGACATAGACAAAGTCTTTTATTGGGGGATGAACAAAAGTGTTTTTAATTAATAGCAGAGTTTTCATTTTTGGGTGAACTAACCGTTTAAAAAAAGGCCAATATATTAACTTCTCAAGCTGATTTATTTTGACTGTACAGTATAGCACTTTACAGTATGTGAACATAGCCTAGAAGTATTTATCTCAAAGCATCTGAGTTTGCAGTTAATTTTCTCCTCTTTCTGTAAATCATTTGGTCTGTCTGGATGAGCTTGAATGCGCAATACGGATGTTCCCACCTGCAAGTTGATGCATTTATTTGCTGGGCGCAATTGGTATAAGAGTCATAAAAAACCATGTTGTTTGTTTATGCTTAAGCTGTTGACCTTACTCCAGTAAAGAAAACCACATTTGCATAACCATGTGCGTTGTCTGCTTATGAAGCATAATAGGGTTAAGAACGTGTCTGTAAACGCACTCACTGTTGATATTAACAATGAGGAGTGGAAAACAGGAAAGTGACCTCAGTTTTGACACAATAATCCCTCTTTTTCACTCTCCCTCCCTCTGCTGGACTGTAGTACCAGTTAGGGCACTGAATGCAGTCTGGGGATTGTGTGCGTGTCTGTGTGTGTGTGTGCGTGTGTTTTGGTTTGCTTGGAGGATGTTCATCCCCTCCAGCTTCTCCTCTTGCTCTGCAGGAAGATAGCAGGCAGAATCCAGCCGAAGTTGTGTTTTCTGGAGCAATTGGGTCATTGGAATCATGGGAGTGACCCATGGAAAGAAAGTAAGGATATTTTGATTCAGTTGAAAGAACTGTCTGTGTTTTTGGTAATGATGTTATAAATCCCTATCATGTTTGGAGAAGACTCGGAAGTGTTGCAAAAATGTATGATTTTTAGTGTTTAGATAGACTTGAATTTGTGAAATGTAAAGTGTGAGTGTTTCTACTGTTCAGGATTTTGTGCTAATGAATTTTCAACAATGTTTGAGCGTGATAAATTTAATCGAAGCTAAATGTGTATATGCCTGAAAGTCTGCATTTGTTTTTTGGTATTATTTTTTAAGAATATATGAAGAGTTCAGATGCAAAAACCTGTAATCTTCTTTCTTAAATTAGCTTTTTTCTTAGACCCCTGTGTATAGGTTTAATAATTTTACTTTTATAGTGACAAATAACTTCTTTCATTATCTTTAAAGTAAAATAACTGAACATAAACAGGAAAATAAAAAGGAAGCTGAAAAAAGCTCATTACAGGAGAAAATTTCAGACAGCATTTAGAGGTTTTTGCATCTAAACTCTTCTTATATGGATAAATATAAATTATTATAGCGGTGTTTTTTTTTTGTATAATTTATACAGTATTAAGTATTATTTTATTAAGTGTTTAAATTAGCTTTCTATATTAAATATTTATAGTTTTTATGTATTTAATTATTTTTTAATTTTATGTGTGCTTGACATTTATTACTACATCTAAATTAATTATATTCATTATATTACATTAATTACATGATATACATAATTATATTACATTATGCATTAACTATATTCAGAACAAATTAAGGTCTACTTTTTAAATTGTTTTAGTATTTTTAGTTCTTCCATTCTTCTGTTAAGTAAATTGTTTCAATCTAGTTTGGCGACATATCTGAGGTTTTATTTTATCTAAAAGTATTTATTCAGCTGCAGTCTGTAACGTTAACCTAATTGTAACACTTTGATTCACTTCTGATTTGCTTTAGTCCAAGGACACCTCGTGACTTTCCCGACACAATCACATTCTAGATGGCAAACAGATTATGAAGGCAAAATGGAGAGTTTGTTTGGCAGGTCCAGTAATGAGGTGGCTAAATGCCAGCTGCTCCCAAAACCATTTTAGCCCAATATGATCAACTCAGCATGGTGTGAACACACACACACACACATTCCCACAATGCCTTCCTTGTGTTAGCACAAGTTTCTCTCAACACACAGGACTATTGTCCTCTTCATCAACAGTTTTTGAGATTATTTTCCATAATTTGGATGAAAACACACATCTCTTAACATACCAAACTCTTCTGTCCTCTTTCTCAGCTGAGGTTACTTCTGCAAAGCAGACGTATTACCGTCTGAAAATCAACAATGCCACTAATCCTCGCCTACTTTTTAAAACATTTTCCTCCCTCCTCTATCCTCCTCCTCCACCCGCATCCTCCACACTTACTACTGATGACTTTGCTACATTCTTCTGCACCAAAACTGCAAAAATCAGTGCTCAATTTGCTGCACCTACAACAAACACGCAAGATACAACACCAACACCACACACACTCACCTCTTTTTCTCAGCTCTCTGAGTCTGAGGTGTCCAAACTTGTGCTATCTAGCCATGCAACCACCTGTCCACTCGATCCCATTCCCTCTCATCTCTTGCAAGCCATCTCTCCTGCAGTCATACCAACACTGACTCACATAATTAACACATCTCTTGACTCTGGTTTATTCCCCACTACATTTAAGCAGGCTAGGGTAACCCCACTGCTAAAGAAACCCAACCTGGACCATACGCTACTTGAAAACTACAGACCAGTATCCCTGCTTCCATTCATGGCCAAGATTCTGGAGAAAGTAGTGTTCAATCAAGTCCTGGACTTTCTTACTCAAAACAATCTCATGGACAACAAGCAATCCGGCTTTAAGAAAGGCCACTCAACTGAGACTGCCCTGCTCTCGGTCGTGGAGGATCTCAGACTGGCTAAAGCAGACTCTAAATCATCAGTCCTCATTTTGCTGGACTTGTCAGCTGCTTTTGACACTGTCAACCACCAGATCCTGCTATCTACGCTTGAGTCACTGGGCGTTGCGGGCACTGTTATACAATGGTTTAGATCTTACCTCTCTGACAGGTCATTCAGGGTGTCTTGGAGGGGAGAGGTGTCCAACCTACAGCATCTAAACACTGGGGTACCTCAAGGCTCTGTTCTTGGGCCACTTCTCTTCTCCATCTACACATCATCTCTAGGACCAGTCATCCAGAGACATGGATTCTCCTACCACTGCTATGCTGATGACACCCAGCTATACCTCTCTTTTCATCCTGATGATCCCTCGGTTCCAGCTCGTATCTCAGCCTGCCTGTTGGATATTTCACACTGGATGAAAGATCATCATCTTCAGCTGAACCTCGCAAAAACGGAAATGCTTGTAGTTTCTGCCAACCCGACTCTACACCATAACTTTTCAATCCAGATGGATGGGGCAACCATTACTGCATCCAAAATGGTGAAAAGCCTTGGAGTAACGATTGATGACCAACTAAACTTCTCTGACCACATTTCTAGAACTGCTCGATCGTGCAGATTTGCACTCTATAACATCAGAAAGATCCGACCCTTCTTATCTGAACATGCAGCTCAACTCCTTGTTCAAGCTCTTGTTCTCTCCAAACTGGATTACTGCAACTCTCTACTAGCTGGGCTTCCAGCTAACTCTATCAAGCCTCTTCAACTGCTCCAGAATGCAGCAGCACGAGTTGTCTTCAATGAACCTAAACGAGCACATGTCACTCCGCTGCTAGTCCGTTTGCACTGGCTGCCAGTTGCTGCTCGCATCAAATTCAAAACTCTGATGTTTGCCTACAAAGTGACTTCTGGCCTAGCACCTTCTTATCTGCACTCACTTCTGCAGATCTATGTGCCCTCCAGAAACTTGCGTTCTGTGAATGAACGTCGCCTCGTGGTTCCATCCCAAAGAGGGAAAAAATCACTTTCGCGAACGCTCACGCTCAATCTGCCCAGTTGGTGGAATGAACTCCCTAACTGCATCAGAACAGCAGAGTCACTCGCTATTTTCAAGAAACGACTAAAAACTCAACTATTTAGTCTCCACTTCACTTCCTAAGCTGCAATTGCCTCTTTGAATATCACACTAATTGTACAAAAAAAAAAAAAAAAAAAACTACTAACACTTCCCTTCTTAGACTTTACAGACCTGAAACTTGCCTTTAGTACTTATTCATTGTTGCTCTTAGTTGTGTAAATTGCTTCCTTGTCCTCATTTGTAAGTCGCTTTGGATAAAAGCGTCTGCTAAATGACTAAATGTAAATGTAAAATGTAAATGAAAAGATAAAGATGAGATGTGTAAAATATTAGCATGAACATCAAAAAAATAATTTGAAAATATTAGCATGGTCACAAACAATTGTTAAAATACCATGGGAAATCAGTATGTAGGTAAGGCACTACAATAGTGTTTATAGCATTATCCGATAAAAAATATTCACAGTAGTGCTAAGAAATTTCAATGTTTGTTTTTTTGTAATTTTGTGATTAAATATATTGACACATATTCATTTCTCCCCCACAGGCTGATCATAATCTTCAAAGTCATAATTCCGCCTGTGCTCAACCACTTATTGGACCTGGTGAATCAGGTTTTCTGTTTCCTTAATACGTTTTGATGCAGTTACAGGGCATAGATTAACCTGAAATGCATACCATGTGGTTTTAGTGTCCTGGGACATTTACTATCATGCCGTTCATTACTTTTAAAGTTAGCATTCCTCAAATGATCCATTATAAAAATATATATAATTGTCTAGTTTTCTGAGTATTTTGTTTGGTAAGAAAATTGGGTCACACTTTACAATGTTTGTTAACACATTCATTGACTTGAATTAAGAATGAACAAAACTTGTACAACTTTTATTAATAATAGTTCAACATTTACTAATGCATTATTAAAATACAAAGTTGTGCTTGTTAACATAGTTATATTATGAGAACAAATGAACGACTTAATTGTCTTCAACTAATTTTAAAACAAAGATGAATAAATATTGAAAGGTTTTGTCAGTTGCTTTTTCATGTTGGTTAATGCATTAACTAACAATAATAAAGCTAAAGCTTATTGTGAAGTGTATAGACCATTAACAACAGGGGATTTAATCATAACTCTAATGTTACAGCAGATAACATTATTTATCAATATGTGGCTCTTTTTTTTATTCTTGGAAGCTGTACAAATTAAAAATGTAAAACAGGAAATACTTAGTACTATTGTTTTTGTTTACATCCCTCAAAATGGTTTATAGGACCACTTGTGTCCCATTTATGTGTAGTGTAATTTATGAAGTAAACTTGAAATGGCTTTATAGCAGAAAATTAATGTAAACAATCAAATGTAAGTGTCCCTGACAATTGGTGGTTCTGATGTCAGCATTCTTTCATTCACTTAACTCGTTGAAATGAATAATAACTAATTTCTGTTAAAGTTATTTGAGATTCATCTAGGCATAATTAATATGTTTTGTTATATATTATGTTGCTGGTCACTTTGACTCAAATGCAAAATTTAATTCTTATTTTTAAAACTTTAATTTTATTTTAATGTATAAACAAATGTGTAAATGTCCTTTTGATTTTACTGTGTTTTTGTCCACATAAAATCAGTCAACAATTTTCTCTACAAGATGTTCACATATTTACAATTTAAATAGGCACATTACAAATCTTTCATAGGGCCCATTTAGTGGATTAAACATAGTATAATAAAAACCACTGCTTTATTATTATTATTATTTTTTTTATTATTATTATTATTTTAGATAAATATTACAGTTAAAGGCTAAAGTCATGCGAGATGTCCTATTATTCTTCTTATACTTGTCTGATGAACTGTACAGTTATTCTTACACTCTTAACTTTTTTTACATTTAATGTAGAATGGTCTCTTTTGCTTCTCTTCCCCCGTTAGATTTAGTCTCTGATCTTGGATCTCTAATAGACCCTGATCAGAGGTGGGCAAGAGAAGAGGATTTAGACCACAGCAAGTTGCTTCCTGAGCACACGGACTATGAAGAGCTCATAAGGCCCAAAAAGCTCCACAATCCCATCAAAGCGTCCAAGAGCCACCGGGAGCTCCAGCGAGAGCTGATTATTACACACAAAAGGTGCAAACTGACCCAGAATTTGAGTTGAAAGCATGTTCACATTCTGAGGCATGAACAGAAGCTTAGTTTCAGCGGTATCACCTGACCCAATTCCTAATCTCTCTTCTTCACACATGCATTGCACTGGGATAGAGTTCTGTCCAACAGATGGCAGTAAAGGCAAATGTATGCATGCAGTTTATATAGCGTTCCTTCTTGTGGATACTCTTTAAAAAAAAAAATCAGAATATAACTGAATAGATGATTGCTAGACGTGCCAGCTAGTATCACCTAACCACTGCAGATTGATGGGGCAGGGTGTCCGCGGAGTCTTAAAAAGTCTTACATTTGAAAAACACATTTAGGCCTTAAATTCACTGAAACATTGTCTTGTAGGTCTTAAATAATTTTAAACGGGTCTTAATTTTCCTTTGTTTATACCTTTCCCGGTACTTTGTTGTAGCTGGAAGGACATCCGCCGTGTAAAACATATGCTGGAACAGTTGCCGGTTCATTCCGCTGTGGCAATCTCTGATAAATCAGTGACTAAGCTGAAGGAAAATTAATGAATGAATCGATTCAACACACCACCAACAATACATCTCAATAAAACTTTTAGCCAAATTATATTCATAAGTGATATTATAAGAATCTCTGTGCAGACATTTAGTTTTTAAAGAGTTGTATACAGCTAGGGTTTTTGTTTTGACAAATTGCTTAATCTATATAAGAAAAATATTAAATGACTAATTGAAATTAGTTTTTTAATTGGGCAAGTACATATTTTTCCTGCTTGGTTATAAAAATATCCTTAGGATTTAGTCATATAAGTCTGATCCTAAAAAGGTCTTAAAAAGTCTTAAATTTGACTTGATGAAACCTGCAGAAAACATAAAGATTAAAATTTGCTGTTAATTTACTCTTTATCAAGACATCTAAGATTTACAGTAGTTGATTTATGTTTTTCTTATAGAATATTAAAGGTGATTCATATAATGCAGGAAGACCTCTATAATGGCAGTTGGATATATAAGCAAAACTTCATACCTGCACCATTGAGGTCTTATAAAGTGAAAGAAACTGAATGTTGTTTACAACATTACTACTATCACCTTCAATCTACAGCTCCCACAAACCCAGTCTCAGTCACAAGATTTGCTATCAACATTATTGGAATGAAGCTTAAGGTGCATTCACATCATGTCTGAAATGCATTCACATTGTTCATGCCCTCTTAGAACTTTCTGTTGCAACCTATGAACCTAAATCTTACGAGAATGTCAACTTGCATCATGTGATCCCAGCAGGCTCATTTTGCTGTTGTTTTTTCATAGAACTGCATAATGCTGATCTTTAACTAGAATGGGCTGTCTTGCAGTTACTGCGACTGGTGTAAAAATCAACATTATTTTTTGTCATATATTTTGTCATTTTAATTAGAATTTAATAGTTTCATTAATTGAATAGTGGTCAATAATTGACTCGTCTATTAAATGTTCATTAAATAACAGTTGCAGTATTTTTGCATGTACTTAACATTCAGCCTTCACATACTGGATTACCTTTCTATTCAGTTGCATTAAATGGCTTTCTATATAAAATGTATAATAACCCTTTTACTTGTCTATCAGAGGAGTGGTGGTGGAGGAGAAGCCGGAGTTACAGAGAGTTCTGGAACAGAGGAACAGAGCTCAAGCTCTGAAACAAGAGCAAAAACAAGAAGAGGAGAAATCACCCTTGGAGCAGGAGTTACTGAAGAGACAGATGAGGTTAGAGAAGGTAAAACCTAAAATTGCATCCCTTGAACTATGCTAAGCAATGACCAAATCAGTACCTTATAGACAATATTGTTTGATTTATGCTAATAAGGCCTTTAAATCCTGGGAAGCCATCCAAATGACCTGGGGTAATTTTCTAAACCCCAAATACAATGATAAACTACTGTCAATCACTTATGAGTGAAAATGCCTAATAAAAACTAAGACAAGCTAAAGCAACTCAACTCACTTTATTTCTATAGCACTTTCACAAATCACAATGGATTACCAAAGTGCTGTACATAAAATCAAATAAAAAAGCATGTAAAATATACATAAAACCAAAATACATAAACTCATATCACATGATTAAAAGCTAAAGAAAATAAGTGTGTTTTCAGTGACCTCTGAAAAGACTCAAAAGTTTGAGCTGTTCTTACTGAGAGTGGGAGATCGTTCCAGAGTCTTGGAGCTGCTACCGAGAAAGCTCTATCACCTCGACGTTTTAAGCGTGATCTAGGAACTTGCAAATAGAGACGACTCTTCAACACTCTTCGGGCAGGATCAGCTCGTTTTAACCCCTTCAGACCCTGCGTCCATTACAATGGACATCACATGACATCCCATTTTTCTGAAATTTGAAACATAATTCACGTCTGAAGGGGTTAATGTGGTTACCCAACACATCCTTCTGTCAAATCTAATAATATTTTTAATCTAGGAACTGCACTCCAGTGGCACAAGTTTAACCTCAGGTTGATGCATTAGGGCAGGGTTCACCAACCCTGTTCTTGACAAAAGCTACCTTCCTGTAGAATTCAGCACCAACCCTCTTCAAACACACCTGAAATAATTAATTAGGATCTAAAGCAGCACTTGATAATTAGAGACAGGTGTGTTTGGTCAGGGTTGCAACTGAAATTTGCAGGAAGTTAGCTCTCCGGGAACAGGGTTGGTGACCCCTGCTTTAGGGGCTGTCTTTGTGTGAGGTGTCCAAGTTGCAATATCTAGCTACTGGAATGCTTCAGGGCTCGGTTCTAGGACCACGTCTTTTCACTATCCACATCCGGGATTAGCAAATTTTAGGCAAAAGGGCCACTGTCCGTCAGAGTTTAGCTCCCTATTCAAACACACTTGCCTGTAGCTCTCTAGTAATCTTGAAGACAGTGATTAGCATTCTGGTCTGATAATTTGACGATAGCTGCTCACATCTCAACAGATGTGTTGTGTTTTCAGCCAACCCAAGACTTCGTCACAATCAAAAATTCTTGCACATTTTAGAACCATCTGGTTTTTCAGATTTGCCTTACAATTTAGGACGATTAGGCCATTCCTATAGACCCTTTTTACATTTCTGTTTTTTTTTAGCAGAGGAACTTGTTATAGTTGTGTACACTTACAGAGCAGTAAATTGGAAAGTACCACAAGTACAGCATTTAACATTCCAATTTGCTCAACTAACGGAAGGAAAAACACAAAGAAAGTGTTTTCACGACTTGCAAAAAAAAAGGTGTAAAAATAATGACAGCAGGCAACGTGGTGGCGCAGTAGGTAGTGCTATCGCCTAACAGCAAGAAGGTCACTGGTTTGAGCCTCAGCTGGGTCAGTTGGCATTTCTGTGTGTAGTTTGTATGTTTTTCCCACGTTTGTGTTGGTTTCCTCTGGGTGCTCCGGTTTCCCCACAGTCCAAAGACATGCTGTACAGGTGAATTGGGTTTGCTAAATTGTCCATAGTGTATGAGTGTGAATGAATGTGTATGGATGTTTCCCAGAGATGGGTTGCAGCTGGAAGGGAATCCGCTGCGTGAAACACATTCTGGATAAGTTGGCGGTTCATTCCACTGTGGCAACTCCAGATTAATAAAGGGGCTAAGCCGAAAAGAAAATGAATGAATGAATAAATGAATAATCGCAGCAGCCAGAAGAGAGAATATTTTCACATTTGGGATGCACCGAATTTTCGGCCACCAACATTTTTTGGTCGAAAATGGCTTAAAAGAGCAGTTTTGATTTTCAGTTTTGAAGAATAAGTCCCCATCCCCAGAAGTGATAACCCATTTTAACCTATTTCAATAATTTGTAATTAATTTATTCTTTGAAACTTTTTAATATTCATTTTTGAATTGCAATGCAACTTTAGTGAGGTTAGTAACACAGTCATAGCCATGAATCCAATTGTACAGGGCATCCAGAAAGTATTCACAGTGGTTCACTAGGATAAGAATATAGAATACTATTCACTAGTATTCAGATGGAAAATATGAATGGAGTAGCTTCAGAACAGTTCGGTGAATGTCCTTGAGTGGCCCAGCCAGAGCATAGATTATAATCCTATTGAACATATCTGATTTCACAGATCTGAAAATGGCTGTACACGGTTGCTTCCCATCCGACCTGATAGAGCTTGAGAGGTACTGCAAAGAGGAATTAGCAAAAATTCCCAAAGACCAGTGTGCCAAGCTTGTGGCACCATATTCAAGAAGACTTGAGGCAGTAATTGCTGCCAAAGGTACATCAACAAAGTACTGAGAAAAGGCTGTGGATACTTCTGTACATGTGATTTTTCAGGGTTTTATTATTAATTAATTTGCAACAATTTCAAAAACTCTTTTTTTCATGTGATATTGTGTGTAGAATTTGGCGAAAATAAATTAATTTAATCCATTTTGGAATAAGGCTGTAACAAAAATGTGGAAAAAGTGAAGTGCTATGAATACTTTCCCAATGCGCTGTACTAATTATTGGCATAATTTATTTAAGTTTTTCATTTTTTGGCCCTGGTTTTCCCTTTTTTTTTCAGTTTTCGGATTCGGTCAAGAATTTTCGTTTCAGTGCAACCCTATTTCACATTTATTCTCCTGCTTATTGACCTGCAAAACGGAAAAAAAACTTGCATAAGCGATGACTGGTATTTTTTACTTTGATACAAATTTGCAAAGTATAGTTTATATATGTACAAAAGCTTTAAAAAATCTAAATATTAAAAACCTTAAAGAATTTAAGATGACAGTTGCAGTGTATCAACACCTTCTTATGAAAAGAGTCCATAGCGGAACATGCTGCACAACTACTTGTTTGAGTTCTATCCAGGCTGGACTATTGCAATTTTCTCAAAATCACTTTCAAGGGCTTTCACATTTACTGTTCCATGCAGGTGAAAAACTTGCTTTGATTACCCTTGTTTCTAAGTCAACATGGATAAAAACAAATGCTAAATAACTGAATGTAACCTTAACAACCTTTCTCAACCTTGTTCTCCCCAGATTGAGAAAGAGGCTGAAGAGCAGAGGGAGAGGTTAAAGTGCGCTCCCGAGTTCATTAGAGTCAAGGAGAGTCTGAAGAGGACAGCGATCACGAGTGCTGCGGAAAAAGAGCTGTAATCACACATCAGCAACAGCCACAGATCTGCAGCTGCAATCACATTTATTCAGCCCCAATTACATGCAAGACATTCTGCTGCTGTGAACAAAAAGGTATGAAAACAGTTCAACCAAGGCATTGGTAAACTATTATAGAAGGGTTATTGATGCATATCTGACTGATTCTAAGGACAAAAGGCTTATGTGCAAAAAGGAACATACTTAAATATTTATATTCCAATAAAGCCTCTTAAGAAGTGCTGACAAGCATGTCACATCTCTACTGGCACATCTCTACTCAGAAAAAGGGGTTGAATAATTTTGATTTGATTTTCCTGCTGAAAACTTCATTTAGTTTCAAAAGCTTAGAGTTTGGGTTTTTAATGAAATCAGGGAATATGAGAACACTATGTTGAGGACAGGAATGTTGAAATGTGGGTTTAAGCATGTGATAAGCCTTTTTGTAATAAGATTCCATGTACCGCACCTTATTTTGCACACAAAAGTTCAGAATATCTCCAAATATACTGTAACTGTCTAGATGTATAGAATTGTATGGTCTATATTTATATGTTATATAATTGTAGGCATTTTAATGGTGTGTGCCTAACAAATCCCTGAGAGGTATAATATAATCCCATAGACACAATTCAATGTGTACCAGATTATTCGATATCTTATGTTGTGTAAATGTTTCTAATCATTTGAATTGTTCAAATTAGGGATGCTCCGATCAATCAGCCGAAAATCGGTATCGGTCGATAATCACGTTTAATGACTCGATCGGTACTCGCCAATCTGCCCAGTCTCATGAACCAATCGCAGGGGTTTGTTTATGAGTAGCAGTGTGTATGTTTGTATGTGCAGCTACCATATATTGTGCATAGCCCACAGCAGACACAACATGTGGGGAGGTAAATAATGCGTGGAGGTATCAGCGATCGATGCGCTTGCGTCACAACAGCTAAAATACAGATGCAGTGCAAGTTTTTTTACAGTCTATTGGCGAGACTCATGTGAGTGAAGGGTTTTTTTAAACAGCTGTGACACGAACGGAGCAATCGCTAAATTTCCCTTTTTAGTAAAAAAGTCATGGATTTTTTTAGGTGCGCTTTTAAAATTCTTATGCATCAAATATGCGCTCTTAACTTGTTCATTATTGAGTCATGTTGAATTCTTCTTTCAGTCTTTTTCTTCTTGCATTGTTTGTCATTTTTCTTACCAATTTGTTTATGCGTGTTATTATTTCTGTAAAGTTGCTTCTGGCCATGACATGTTCACACTTAAATAGTTAAAAGAGATGTGTTTAAGGTATTATATGCAGCATCCTTAATTTATTTTCTTAAGTAAGGCGAGATCTCCACTTAAGTATCATACTTGGAGGGAAAATGTGCTTAATGCATTATAAAGCTTGAAGCATTCGAGTCGGTGCTCTGTATCGGCCGATCACCATGACAAAGAATCGGTACTCGATATCAGCTGTGAAAATCTTGATTGGAGCATCCCTAGTTTAAGTACACTTTCTAGTGTTGGGCTTGATTTTCTGTTTCTAGCATGATAAATTAATTGAATAAATTAGCATGTCTATCTCTTGGTTTATTTTATCAGATTAGGAAAAAAAATACAAAATTGGATTCAAATTGTAAAGTAACAATCAGTATCATTGCAAAATGCATTTTTTATTAACATATATTGTTTCTCACCATTATCTTCTTTAAAATTGACCTATTTATATTTCTTTACATGGGTGACTTTTCACATGCAAGCCTTTCCACTGATATAAATCACAAAACTCATGTGTATGTTTTGGCTAACAACACAAAACCTATTTTTTTGTAATCACATTTTGTAATAGTCTTCCAATAAAGGGATGTTTGAGATGTTTGGAGTGTATTATCTGAAAGTAGCAACCACGGTCTGCCTTTGCATAGCACTCTGATGTGAACTTTATTTGCACTGTACACAAAGATTTTACTGAACACACAATGCATAGACAAGAAGTGTTTATTCATAGCGTGCTACTACCTGTATATCTTTAAGGGTACAAATCATTGGCTCGTCATAACTCCATCGATAACACGTGATGCATTGCATCCATACAATTGTTGCTTTTACAAAAAAAGACATACAATATATGCATACATCGTCTTAATGTATAATACACATACTGTATATGTGTTTTCTCTTCCTGTGTGCACATCCATGTAGAAATAAATATATGAAATAAAAAGTCAGAATTGAGTAAGGGAGGAATTAATTACCCCACAACCAGGGTGCAACTTTATGTAGTACTTTTTGAAGCCAAAGTATTTAATAGATGACTTCCAAATGATGTTTAATCAGCCCTTCTGAGGCAGTTTGCATAATTACAATAATGAACGGATTACTGAACTGCTCATTAGACTTGCATTTTTATACTAATCAAATCAATGATTGCACTTAGGCTGAAAGCAGTTCTAAATCTGCATGTTTTTAATTATATATTATAGACTGTATATACCTAATATTTAATATTTTTACAGAAGCATAGGAAATATTACATTTAATCAAATAAGGGTTCATAGCAAAACAAATGCATTGTTGTTTTTTATTATTATTGTTGGCTTCAAGTAAGTCATGTGCTCAAATTGGCACAGATATGATATCTATATATATATACACATATACTGATGAACAAGGTGATAAATGTTCTTGCATTGTCTTTTTGTTTTCTTTCAATCCAGTTTGAAAGTAAGGCCAGTATTGAGTTTTTACAATAACAATAATATTAATAAATTCATTTTTTTTGTTGTTGTTGTTTTAAAACACGCATATTCCACAAAGAAACAGATTAAGTGTCAAAATATCTTGTGCCTCCCAATTCACAACGACATAAGACAGCAATAGCCTGTCTTTTTTCAGTTAGCATAGTGGTAAAGATATGAATATGTTTATAAATATTTAGTAGTTTGTTCATCGCTCTTGTAAACATACTTTTTTTACGAGGTCATGCAAACATTAGACGTCTTCTGCACAGGAAAACAGTACAGATCATGGCCAGCGACCCAAAATAAAGAATCTGAAGCAATGAACTGATCGGCTCACACAACACACACCAGAAAAAAGCGGATTATCATGGGGAAATAAATCATTTTTAGTTGCTAAAAGAAATCAATGTTGTGACAAAGAATAGTTATTAATCAACCTCTGTTCCAAAACCTTTTGAGGGTTGATTAACAAAGAGCATCGTTTTTTTGTCTGTTATTCGTGCAGTTTTACAAATGGTTTCTTGACATTGTTTAATGTACACTGCACAAGACTCAAGTGCAACTGTGTATGGAAGGCTTTCAGGGACAATAGTCTTTATATAAAACAAGAAATTTGATTCCACCAGCATTACCCAGTGAAATCACTGTATATGAGAAGTTTTCAGAATAAGGGAATGTTTTCATATTTCCTACAGTTACATTTCCTATGTTACAGCAAGACCTACACATTTAGAAATGTGATGTTGGTATTATTAACTGTTGCCTTTGTCTGTGACATTTTTGCAATTTCATGCTTCGAATGACTTCCATACTAGTCCAGCATGTCGGTCTAATGTGATCACATAGAGAAATCATGAAAAAGTAGTGCAGCACAGTGAAAAAATGTGTTCTCTGTGAGTGGCCAATTAAATAGCTGTATATGAGGAGCTTTCAGAACGGAGAGATGTTTTCATAGTTCCTAGAACTATTTGGGGGGGGGGGGGGGGATGGGGGGGATAAGCACTTTTGGGTGTGTTTGTTCCACAGAAACTGTGAATAATTTTATTTCTAAGAATGCCATTTGGTGGAACTAAATTGGCTCCTACTTCCGAGTGGGACCTAATACATTACAATAGGAACTACTGTGATGCAAGTGTACACTGACTGGGGGAATGCATGACATATGAAATACCATCACAGTATTTTAAAGTGCTTTAAAGGTAATGTTGGTAGCTGATGTCTTGTGGTAACTTTGCATGTTTTGCATGAAATTTCACATTTTGAATAATGACTTTTGGCCCCAACTGCATTCCATACTAGTCAAACTTGCCAATCTAGAGTGATAACATAATTAGAAAATAGTGTAGTGCAGTGGAGAACATGTTCTGTGTGAATGGCCCACAAAGTAGCATCTGCAATACTGTAAAAGCATAAATATAGCCCTCACAAATATTGAGTAAAATAGTCAGTATTTTTAAATACTTTTTGGTATTTAATGAAATATATTTTTGAGCATGCTGCACTGCATTATAAGACTTTTATTTATTTATTTATTTTGCTAGGGGAAAAAATTAGGGCAACTGTTTTATCAAGAAGTTCAGTGAAAATGTGAAAATAAAGCGTTTTTTTACAATTTGAGCCTGATTAATATTAGCTTTGTCATTCTTCAATATAATTGTAGAACATATCTTCCAACATGGTTGTTAAAAAAAGCTACAATTTGCATCTGTAATATATTTTTCTCTATTTATCATATTGTGTTAATTTCTCTTTTTGTGTTAAAATATGTATGGATGTTTTATATGTGATTCAAGTACATAACTGTTCTTTTTTTTAAGGTTTTGGAACAGAGCTAGACAGCAGAGCTACTTTTGGCCTAAAACAGTCTACAACTATTAAAAGCAAAGCTTGTATAGTTTTGATATGGCATTTAATCTGGGTGTAAAAATTGCATCTGGAAAGTTGTTCAAATTTCTTAACACCCTCACGTATAACCTGTTTTCTCTACATGCTTCATTTGAAGGTCGACGGAGCACAACAGACAAGTTCCGGAAGTAAAAACTCCATTCATTTTCTCCATAGAGAAGCAGATTAACTGTATCTGATAAATCTTTAAAGACAGACCTGATGTGAGCTCTGAGGATGTTAATCGGCTGTATATATTGTACATCTTTTCACATTAACATATTTTTAAACAATTGTGTTCGATAGTATAATTCTGGTAGAAAGACTACATTACCCATGATGCTGTACATAAACTTCAATCCAATCAGAGAGTCTCATTATATCAAATTTGCATATATTGCAATAAATTTGAAATATTGTTTTTTAAAGTGTTTGGCTCCGACTGCCTTATTCAAACTTTTGACAACAAAAATTGAATCAAATATAGTTTCAATTGAATTAATAGATTATTATATCGCTTTTTGATTTTATTAGCATTGTCATTTGCAAAGCTTCATGGGATTGTAGTCATTTCCCCTCATTAAAGCTGCTGAAGGGATAGTTTACCTAAACAAATTTATTTACTTGCTGTTTATTCTCCCTCAGTTGGTTTTAAACCCTGATGATTTTCTTTCTTCTGTTGAACACAGATATTTTGAAGAAAGCTAAAAACCTGTAACCATTGACTTCCATGGTAAAAAAAAATATTATGGAAATATAATATAAATAAAAAAATATTATGTCATACAGTATTAGGACCTAATACTGTATGACAGGAACTACAGTGCTGTAAGTGTACACTGACTCGAGGAATGCATGTCACACGAAACACCAGCACAGCATTTTAAAGTGTTGTAAAGCTGATGTCTGTGACTAATGTTTGCGGGTAACTTTGCATGTTTTGGATGATCAAATTTCCCATTTCAAATATATACTTTTGGCCCCGACTGCATTGCATTTTCGTCAAGCTTTTGACAACAAAAATTGAATCAAATATTAATTCAATCCTATGAATAGATTTAGATATCTCTTTTTAATGTTTTTAACATTGTCATTTGCAAAGCTTCATGGGATTGTAGTCCTTTTCCCTCTTTAAAGCTGTTAAAGGGATAGGGATAAAAAATGAAATTTACTCGCTTTTTACTCTGCCTCAGTTAGTTTTAAACCTATATAAGTTTCATTCTGCTGATAAACACAAAATAAGATATTTTGAAGAAAGCTAAAAAACCTGTAACCACTGACTTCCACAATAGGAAAAACAAATACTATGGAAAGCCAATGGTTACAGGTTTTCAGCTTTCTCCAAAAATCCATTATTTTGTGTTCAACAGAAGAGAGATGGAAAGATTTGGAACCACTTAAGGGTTCATAAAGGATGACAGAATTTTCATTTTTGTGTGAACTAACCCTTACCATCTCTCAGATTTTTATAAACTTCTTCTTAAATGTTTTGATTCTCCTCATAGCTGGGTGATTAATCTCATGCCTTATAATGCTTTTAAAAGGCCCCATGGTAAAAAAAAAATGAATGTGAAAAACACTTCCATGACTGTTTATAAAAGCGAGCAGCCACTATTTATATGCAAAAGATCATATGATCGCTGGTTTAGCTTGGAAATACCACAGATTTTCACTACAGAGCCAGTCTGAACCAAATCACAATTCAACGACATGGACTTGTGGATTAAGGCGGGAAAATGTACTTAAAGGGACAGTTGACTTCAAAATTTTCATTTACGCACCCATAAGTGGTTCCAAAGCTTTACAAGTTTCTTTTTTTCTGTTGAATAACAACACAAAAACATTTCGAAGAATGTTATGGGTAAAAGGGTAATCATTCACTTCCATAGTAAACTAAATCAATAAATATTATGGAAGTCAATGGCTACTGTTTGCAAACATTCTTCAAAACACCTTTTTTTTGTTGTTGTTCAATAGAAGAAAGAAACTCAAACAGGTTTGGAAGCAGTGGATGGTGCATAAATGATGACAGAATTTTAATTTTTGGGTAAACTGTCCCTTTATTTACGATGATATATGATTTTATCGCCTGAGCAAGTGGGACAGTTATTAAGACATTAAATATCTAGTGGCTTTCCAAGAAAGTCCAAATTGCTACGGGGTACAGACCTGAACGTTTCTTTAAAGAGAAATAAATAACATAAATATACAACACACTTTTTTTTCTCTTTGGTTGGGGTACAGAAATATTT